GCGCTGGGGGGGACAGGACTCCCGTGCCTGCTCTGGTTCTGTGCGGGGGGACAGGGACCAGATCCTGCCCCTGGTGCTTGCAGAACCAGCCCGTGCTTGTTGATCGTGCCCGGGGAGCCAACAGGGTGGGCACGTGCCCCTTCGGCATTTTGCACCCGTTCGCTGCAGCAGCTATGGGGACCTGGCCCCATCTCCCCCCTCCTGAGCCCCGAGACCTCCTCCTGCTTTAATTAAAGTGCAAAAGCGTGATGGAGGGAGAAAAGGGAGGGAGCCCCCACCACCCCGGGCAGTGCTGCGTCAAGGTAGGCTGATCGCAGGGCCCGGCCGGGCAGCGGGGATGGCCGGGCTCTATCCCCCCGCCACGGACATTTCCTGCGTGCCCAGGGCTCCTTTCGGCCAGGCCGGCATCAAAGGCAGCCCGTGGCGGGAGAGCACAATTAATCAGGGGGAGTTCGGGCTGAGCGCACACCAGATGGGCCGATAAAGCCGCGCGGAGGAAATGGTGCTCCCGAGAAGGGCGGCCGTGCCTGACCGCCTCCTGGGCCGAGATGAGCGGGCGCAGATAAATGGTCCCCCCAAGCACTACAAAGCACGGGAGCCCGACCCGAGCCGGGGGAGGTGGCGTTCATCACCCCTTCCCGGGCAACCCCAACGCCCCCGGGCAGACCCTCTCCTGACTTCTCCCCTTTGCAGCCCCAGCCCCTTCCTCCTCCCTGCCCCAGGCATCCGTGGGGTGGGGGTCTCAGAGCAATCCCACGCCGTATTTACTCTGTGGTCATTGCAGACATTTTTTCCCTCTCCCCTGTCAAACCTTGGTAAGAAAGTTTATCTGAATGCAAGTTCAAGGCTGTCTCTTATTTATCTAGGAATCAATAAGGGCCACATATTTCCCACAGTCCCCAGAGCTGGCCTTTAGAAAAGGACTATTGTCTGAGTAAGGCCTCACACACCTGATTTGAACCAGGATAAGTCCTGCCTTACACCTGCACCGGCACCGGGCAGATGATAAAGGTTTACGGGCTGGGGGACGTTGGGGCGCATCGGAGCCTGGCTGCATCGGAGCCTGGCTCCTCCGCCGGACTCCAACCGGTGTCGATTCGCCCCAGGCACAAAGGCACCAGACCCTGCTTGGTCCCGACCTTCTCAGCCCAATTTGTAGCCGAGTACGACGCTCCCAGGCTGATGATGTTGTCGCAGGGACGAGCGTGGCCCTGATGGTACCACCAGGCGTTAGACAAGTCCTCATCCAGCACAGTCAGACCATCACCCAAATCCCCATCGCGCCTGCCATCGGCAAGCAGGTTTTTCGGTGACCGTGAAGGGGCTGGGCTGGGGTTCTCAGCACCCTGAGGCTCATCTTCAGCTGCCCACGTGGGTGCAGCACAGGGTCTCTGCTACCCCCTCCCTCAGACCCATCTCCAGGGGAGAAACAGACCCGCTCCACCTCCGCACACCCACCCTCAGCCGCGTCTGCCTGCCCATTACCTGCTTACTGGAAGACATATTGGTCAGCGTGCTGATGCTGCTGGTGTCCGTCACCACCATCGCCGAGGGGAAGCGGGAGGTGTGGGAATACTGGGGAGGCTCCTGCTTGTGTGCATACACTGCGGAGAGGAGGGAGAGAAGGAGCCGTCACGGAAAAGCCACCCACAGCCCTCGGGCCGGGGGCAGAGCAGCTGAGCGCTGCGTTACGGCAGGTCGCAGGGATGCTGCGTGGGAACGAGCATCGTGGAGACACGAATGAGATAAAACAAGTCATGGAAAGAAATAACCACCTCCCTCTCAACC